GTTGTTCACAGGTGTAAAACTGTGGACGAGTGTTTATTACTGTTCTTCATTTGACCTGGAAACTTCCATGTTCCTGCTTGGTATTGGATGCTGAGAAATATAAGTATAGAACTACCATGGCCACTCCAAGCAAATTTGTGCCAGCTTCTCCTGGATTCAACATAGACTTCCTGGCTTGGGACACTCCAGAGAAACCGTTGATGCTGTCTCCAACAGCTCTTCAAAACCCTGCAGCAGTGTATTCCAGGATTCCGTCAGCATCTGCGAACGGTATGCTGTCACAGCAACGTTCATCTTTGATGGATTTCTACTCACAGTCGGCGTTTAAACCTAACCGACCTGACTGCAGTCAGCTTCCTCTCGACTTAAGCCAGAGTGATTGTGACCGGAATGTATGCAACGATAGCTTCTTCTCACCTCCAACACCAAAGAGCAGCCTGCTGAAGAATGTTCCGGCACCTTTGATGTATTCACCCGGACCAATGCCAATCAAATCCATGTACAGTAGTGTTTACCTTCAGAGGCTGCAGAGGAACCCGATGTTTCAGGACCTACAGAGACTCCTGGTGGCTGAATGTGAGAACTATCATGTACCGACCAACCTGTTGAAGATGAGCTCACCATGGATCGGCATGCCACACTCTACAACCAAGTTTGATCTTGGAAACCAGGTTTTCAGTCGTCACACCAGCATCCAGGACCGTATGAAGAAGATGCGCGAGGATATGTCACTGAGGCAGGATGTCGGGAAATTATCAGCCTACTACAGTTCAGAGGTCGGCTCCATTGAGGTGGCCCGTTACCAAGCCCTCTGTGCAGCCTCAGTTTCAGAACACGCTACACTGACCGTTAACAACTGCTTTGATGAGAAAAGACTCAAGTTGATGAACCACATTCAATCTGAGCTGGACCTTCTTGTCAAGCCTCGTCGACGCAACTCGTCTCTCGGTTCAAACGGCTCCAGTCCAGACGACGACAGCTTCACCAGTCAACAAGGGGGACAACTCTACAACACTAGTACAACTACCAACAACAGCTCACCAGACCTGGAAGCAATTTTGTGTGAAGGTAATGAACTCCAGCAGCCTGTGCGACCTCGGCCTCGATCCGTTGTGAATTCTGATTTAGCTCAATATGTTGGTACCACTGCTAGACAATTGAAGTTTGGGGACAACACCGTTACCACGGAAACAAACACAGACTATCATAGTTCTGATATTTATCGGCCTTTGTCAGCAGTTTCTTGTGTGTCGACTGGAAGTGCCTTCTCCTCTGATTCGGACATAGACGTGTGTGACTTCAGCGACAGTGAGAGTGTGTTTAGCCAGAAACTGACGACACCTGCAGATCCAGCTTGTTTTTCCGTGAGTAAGATCAAAGACTATTATTCTATGCCTACATCTCATGTGTCTTTACAGAACCATAGTGCTATTATTGGACAGAAAGCTCGCAACCAGACCAGCACATCTAGCTTTCTTCTGGACCAGGTACAGAATGATCTCGAGTGTCGTGACAGTGTCTCTAATTGCCATGACGATGCATCTATGTGTGACAGCAGTGAAAATTTAAACAAACCTCTGGACATTTTTGCTTTGGCCGCAGCTGAACTTGACCTCCCATCCTCCGGACAGATCACAGAAACAGATGAGAAGTTAGTTATTGACGAGTCTAATGTTAAATGTGAAGTCAGTAGTACAACTGATCAGTTCCAGCAGAGTGACCTTCCCCAGGTGCCAGCCATGATCGGCCGGAATCGGTGCTTGACGCCTGAAGCTACAATGATTTTGACCAAGTGGTATGAGGACCATATTTCCTACCCGTACCCATCTGACCCTGAGGTGCAGCAGATCTGTGTCAGCTGCGGACTGAGCAAGACACAGGTCAAGAAATGGATGGCCAACAAACGTGTCCGGACCTACAACACTCTCAGCATCACCGGTAACCAACATCCCATCAAGCGAAAGTTCAAAGGTGAAGGTGGTAACACAGCGCCTGTTTCAGCGAAACCAAACTACCAGCAACTGAGCAACGAAGCTAGACAGATTTTGAATCAGTGGTACGAAAATCATGCCGAGAATCCCTACCCTTCTGAGGACGAGAAGGTGATGTTATCCCAATCAGCCAACATTACACTAGCACAGGTACGTTCATGGTTTGCCAACAAGAGGAGCCGCGCTCATAACACACGACGACAGGTACCCAACTACTTCATCAACAAGTTCCCAGAGTACACACCCATTGTACAAATGGTGAGTGTGCATCGTGAAGAGGCGCGCCGGGTTGTACGGAAACAGCGGGCTAGCCGAGACTATATGTATGCTCCCTATTAAATCTGAAACCATAGAAAACTGTGTTTTTCCGGGAGAAGTTATATGTGAGATTTGTGTTGAAATCTTAAGATTTTGTGACCAGTCCAGACTAATAGTGACTAGAACGATAGTGCCTGAGTGACAATTTATGGAGTATTTCTCATTGTGGATCTCATTGTGGATTTCATAGTGGATTCATTTGTGGAAATTCAACAAAGACATGTACTTTTAAATGCAAGGCATTTAAAAAAAGGTATTTTTTTACGAATGAAGAAGAAAATTGTAGGGTTCCTAAAATCTGAAATTCTTCATTTATGCATGGATTGATAGAAGTTACAACAAGATATTTTGTTGGTCTCAATATTTGTAAATTCTTTCATTTCCTGCATTGATTGGTATATAGTCCAAATACATTGTATAGATTAACATTGATGAATAATCCAAGGATGACTCCCTGATGAGTGCAAGTGCCAAAACTAATATTTTGTAATTTATACTTGAATGTATATATTGTACATAATCATTATTGGACTATAAGCATTTTTTGGTACAAGTATGTTTTTCTGTTTGCTAATATATACAGATTTAATGTACTTAATAATTTATTTTCAGTTGCGGCATTTTGTAAATTCATTAAATGTAAGATATTGTACATTGTTTTTCATAATAACTTGTTATCAATATTAATAAATGCATTTAACTTGATTTGGAAGTGTCTGTTATTGGTTTGCTATAGATGTATAGACTTTAGTTAGGTATGAAATAGTTTGAGATTTGACTTAACTGTCTGTAAGGAAGTAAAATCTTAACGGCCCCTGTACCTTAAAAAAAATAAAAAAATCTCAAATTGTTTATGATGATCAATACATGCTGTCAAATTTTGACTGAAGTCGATTTTGTTTTATAATCCAGGGGCCTGATAGTTTCTGATTTCTTAGCCAATCATTCAATACATCGTATGACTAAATGGGTATGATGTCATATGTACATAATTATGTGGGATATGTATTTACAATGTAATTGTTATGACAGGAGAATCCCTCCCCCCCCCTCAACACTCAAATACCATACCGAATGATTCCAGCACAGCTCTCCACTCGAGTAAATCACTCGTAGTGCTTATTCTAAATGCTTAACGTTTTGCACGGCATACAACACTTTTAAAAGACTTGGGTATATGATGCGGATATATTTTTCTTCTTTTGGTCCCTGAAGGTAGGGCGTAAGAATAGCACCTGCACCATTGCATGATCGTAAGAGGTGACTAAATTACGGATCTTTTCTTTTCTCTTCTTTCTAAACAACTTCTTCCTAATTTCTCCCTTGACAATGCCTCACTTTTGGCATGTAGTTGAGCATTCGCCCCTGTGTGTCTCCCGCTTTATCCGGGAAAGATCAGCTAGTCACCCACTAGAGGAGATATATAGCCTTGTGCTGATTAGCATGTGTTCAATTATGACATCATAAAAATGTGTCACCAGTAACTGTGACGTCATCAAAAGTGAATGTTGATTATTCATACTCCACATGTGTTTTTGTTTACACTACTGTCGGTGGAGTTGTGACTGAAATAAAAGGATGGGAGAAAAATAATCATCCCCTACCTTTAGGGTATTACAGAGAAAAAACCAACACTCTGGGAAATTTGTTTGGTTGTCTAACACTCGGTAGAGCCTCAGGTTAGACAACCAAAAAACATCGCCCCTCGGGTTGTAGATTTTTCTGTCACACCCTCAAGGTAGAGGAAGATTCTATTAATCTTTCCCTGAGAAAGAGTGTGCATGGATTCCATTTTACTTTCTGCACCCCTGGAATATGTCATAGCAAAATTCAAGTCGCACGGCTAGCTATTTGATTGGTCTCAGTTTTTAAAAAACCTGATCAATCGTTAGGCTAATACCTGTCCTTTTGAAAATTACAGAGGAGCGACTCTCCAACTTCAGAGTTAGTACATTTTACCATCACAGGACCGTCAGATTCTTTTGAACATCAAAGGATCAATCTAGTCTTCCTGTCTCATACACAAGGTGGTGCACACTGGCCTTTGATTTTGCTATGACATATTCCAGGGGTTCAAAGAATAAAATTAAGCACAACCCCTGAAGTATCGTGGATGTTTAAGGATGTGTAAGTAGTGTTTTGGGACTTCAAAGTGGCTTTTGAGGCCCTTAAGTGTCCTCATCAGCAGTGGACACTGTCATATGTGGATACCACAGCAAACTGTCATCATAAGACTAGCTTCTGTGTGGAAACTGTGGTCATATTGTTTCAACACCATCGTCATATGACGTTAGCATATAAATCGGACACCATGGTCATATGGCATTGACATATTGTTTGTACACCATCGTCATATGACGTTAGCATATTGTTTGTACACCATCGTCATATGACGTTAGCATATTGTTTGTACACCATCGTCATATGACGTTAGCATATTGTTTGTACACCATCGTCATATGACGTTAGCATATTGTTTGTACACCATCGTCATATGACGTTAGCATATTGTTTGTACACCATCGTCATATGACGTTAGCATATTGTTTGTACACCATCGTCATATGACGTTAGCATATTGTTTGTACACCATCGTCATATGACGTTAACATATGATTTGGACACTATCAATACAGCACATTGATCTGAGGTAGATATGACAATGTTAAGAAGAGTTTCTCTTTGTTTCAGAAATATCTCCAGGCCTCCGATTTCCTACAGAATGTTGTGTACATAAACTTACAGACTTCAGACGAAGATAAGGTAGGTTGGAAATTTGCTGGTAATCAATTAAGTTTGATTTGTAATCAATTAAATATGATGGAATAGCTCTGGTATTAACCACCCAAGCCTTTGGTTGGTATTGAAGTATTTCACATTTTGAACTTGAACATACATACAACCACAAGGATTTCAACAAAACATCCAAGATATATTCAGTACATGGTTTTGACCAAGTGTGTTGTAATTTTTTGGGTCAGTCATCAGATATCCAATATGGCACCATGGCCACCATTTTGAAAATCGATTTTGAACTTAACTTGGGTTCTGTTGAAGAGATTTTAATTAAACTTTATAAAAATGTAAAGCACTAAGCTCTGCCTAATAGTGTTAGTATTTTACTGGTCGAAGAGATATTTCAGATGGTTGCCTAAGCTGTCAACTTGAAAATCTTAAGTTTCTTACCATTATGAGTAAATATTTTTGGGTAGATTAAAAGATAAAAATAAAAATTGGCCGTATTACACAGCAACATTATACATCTTATATTTCTTTCCAAGAACTTCTCAATTTTTTCATTCCAAAATGATTTCCTCACTGTTAACTTCACTGGTGCTGGACACACTATTATATAGTATGTGCACACCAATTACTATTTGTGTGTCCAGCACCTGTGGTGTACTTCCTTCTGTTAATTATAATTTTTAGTATCAATTAAATACTTATAATAAATAATTGAATCCAAAATCTTCCCAGATACCCAACAAATTTCTTCAATACTCATATATTACTGCAATATTCTGTTACACCTATTGTTCCCATCAGGTGAGCGTAAGGCGACAGGATCCTTGTTATGTAAAAAGATTATTAACTCTTACAGATAAACCGTTACTGCACCTTGTCCCAGCTGTATGCACAGATCGGGTTTCGACGGAAGGCCGCGTTCTTTAAACGGATTGCTGCAATGCAATGTGTGTCCCCACAGAATCCTCAGCCTAATTGGAAGCTGTGTCACAGTCTAGTGATGCAGTGTCTGGATGGCTACAACATCTGTCTCGACCCTAAGGACGTGCCTACAGGTCAGAAATACCTTTAGAAAAAAAATTGACATACAAATCCCCAGAATGTTAAATATACCTTAATAAGCAGTGAGTTTTTTTGCTAAGTTTTACTGCCAAATACAGGCTGTGTCCCTTAGCTAAAAAGTGACTTATTTTCCCAAAATGACCAAAAAGTGAGGAATATATCCTCAATTTCAAAAGAAATAATGGCACAATTCCCCAATTCATAAAGGAGCAGGCTTTTGTAAAATTTAGGGAACCAAAACACTGCTTAAAATACCCCTCAGTGAGATAGTATCACGGAGTGGTATTTTAGGGTACATTTAACATTCTGGAGATTTGTATGTAATTATTTGCAAAAGTATTTCATATTTTTGCCACAAAATTACGTTTTTAAAGATATACAGACATTTAACAGAGATTGCAAGCTATTTATTCTAGAAATAGATTTAATGAAATTTGTCAATTTGAGGTGGGTGTTTTTAGCAAATGTATAAACTCTAGTTCTTCAAGAACACTGTAATATTTTCTTATTTGACAAAAGTATGTTTGAAAGTAAGAGGAGAATGAATTATGCTGACTATGAAAATCTGTAGAGGATAATTGTTTGTTTACAAATTAATAATAGTTTGTTTGTGGACAGACTTCATACCAGAATCTCAATATTTCTGTTGACAGACTGTGTGTACGGCTGGCCTGTTCTGCAGTCTCGAGTGTTGAACGAGCTCATCTTCTCTGCCCGTCGTACTGGTAACATTCCTGTAGCCATCAGGTAAGTTTCTGCCCATCTTACTGGTAACATTCCTGTAGCCATCGGGTAAGTTTCTGCCCGTTGTACTGGTAACATTCCTGTAGCCATCAGGTAAGTCTCTGCCCGTCGTACTGGTAACATTCTTGTAGCCATCAGGTAAGTTTGTGCCCGTCGTACTGGTAACATTCCTGTAGCCATCAGGTAAGTTTCTGCCCGTCTTACTGGTAACATTCCTGTAGCCATCAGGTAAGTCTCTGCCCGTCGTACTGGTAACATTCTTGTAGCCATCAGGTAAGTTTCTGCCCGTCGTACTGGTAACATTCTTGTAGCCATCAGGTAAGTTTGTGCCCGTCGTACTGGTAACATTCCTGTAGCCATCAGGGAAGTTTCTGCCCGTCGTACTGGTAACATTCCTGCAGCCATCAGGTAAGTTTCTGCCCGTCGTACTGGTAACATTCCTGCAGCCATCAGGTAAGTTTCTGCCCGTCGTACTGGTAACATTCTTGTAGCCATCAGGTAAGTTTCTGCCCGTCTTACTGGTAACATTCCTGTAGCCATCAGGTAAGTTTCTGCCCGTCGTACTGGTAACATTCCTGTAGCCATCAAGTAAGTTTATACTGGAATTTCTTCCCATGTTTCTGATCATACAATCTTAAGTTTAATTGTTCATTTTGATGATAAATATGAATACTCAGCTATGCATACTAATTCAACTGTGGCAGGAAAATCAACAAAGGGAAGGTAATTATTGATCTAGACAAACTTTTCATGGTATAGGTGCAGTATTCAAAGATAACATCTTACGGCGGATGTTGTGTCATGAAATTCGTGAATGGTTGTTACATTGGAAAGTCATTGCCACAATTAAAGGGGGGTATTTTATTTATCGGAATTAAAATAATATGAATATACTGCCTTTGATCCAAATAAAACAAAAAAGAATAGATAATATACGTGGGAAAATACTTCCTTGGAATAGAAACAGGAGTGTATTGCTTTGCTTGTATTTCCACTTGACCAAGCAATTTTCATAATTTTTACAAAAAAAAAATGTTCCTAGCATTATTGAAATATTTACATGTACAGTGGAGCTGTTGTTGGTCCAGTCAGCTGTATTCCTAGCTTAAGTAGCTGGACTATAAAACAACTGGATTACTGGAACTGTTTTTAAGGGAAAAAAGGGAAATTTGTCCGCACTTTGGCGAACTTCAGAACAGTCAGATTAGTGGTAGCTAGATTATTAAGAATACCTGATTTATTGTTAAAATATTGACTTTTGTTTTTGTTAAAGGCATCTGGGAATGTTACTACACACTCTGTTTGATATTCTGACGACTGAAGATAAACGGGACCTTATAAACACTCTCCAGACTCTGACAGCGAAGTCGGAGGGCACGACGGCCCCGCTGGCCCTCGACAGTGGGGTCATACTGCCCCCCATACCTCTCAGCAATATACCACAAGTTACGTAAGTCATAATATTTCATTTTGATATCATGTGACTAATATAGTCCAATCAGAAATGCTGTTACATACGGTAGATGAGGTATAATAATCGGTCTAAAGTAAATGTCTGTCGCTGAGATTTCAATTTTCAATAACCAGGTTAGAAATGGTCGAATTATTCTACCTAATTTACTGCATGCATAATTTAAGTAAAAGGATATTTTTTTTCCCTCTACTTTTAAGATAGAGAGGAACATTGTCATGATTCCTATCAATCTGTTTGTCTGTCCGTATTTGTTTCCACATGATAACTCAATATGTATTTTGGACTATCAAACTCCAAATACTGAATGGGAGTTTTAACCTAACTCTGTTATGATTATTTGCTCATTGTAGGTCTTTCAAATTAATTCCACTTCCGCCACACCTACAGCCAATCAAGGTGGCATCCAAGGTAGTCAAACAGGACACGGGACCATTTATATTTACTCCGCTGTCCCTCGGTCAGCAGGAAGTCCAGAGCAAGACACATGTAGGTAGGTCGTCAAATGTCCAGATCAAGGTCAATGTTCATCGCCTAGGTCATCAAATGTCAGGATCAAGGTCAATGTTCATCGCCTAGGTCGTCAAATGTCCAGATCAAGGTCAATGTTCATCGCCTAGTTTGTAAGATTAAGACTTGTTACAGATTCAACTTTTCATCGTGGATACAAATCAATGGAAGATAAGTGAACTCAAGCTGGACATTTATTTACATGGACTGCTTTCCTTTATCGCGATCCAAACGGTTGGACAAGAGTTGTTCGTTTATGAAATAAGGTCGGACCTAGTGATCTGATGCTGATTTCAGGCGAGCCTTGACAAAGCCTTGCAAGGCCTGCATAAACATTTGCAGGTCCAGCAAGGATTTATACCCGAAATATTACGTTTAAAAAAGACACCTAGTGGTTCGTCATTGCTTGAACATGGTAAATGACAGATGGTGCTACACTTAAACATAAATTCTTTTATATTCTATCGAGAATATCCAATGGTTATGGTTAATTTATATTTATGGGTGGATTGGTCGAGTGGTTAACACTTTGGCCTTCCGCGCAGACGGCCAGGGTTCAACCCTCGAAGTCGTCGTACGCATGGAATATCAGAGAAAGTGTTTTTCTCCTGCCCACACAACTCCAACAACCCAGGTGGAGTATAAAATGGTCTGGGGTGGATGTTGCGGTATCTGTGCTGTAGCATTCAAGTGAGGTGGCACTTTAAATGATGACGTTGGAAGCACGGTCCCACTGCAAAACAGAACACAATACATCTACAGCACACACGCAGGCATACACACATAGGGAGATATTAGCCAGGTGGCATAGGTCTAGTAGTTAGCGCCTGATAAGGCAGCTCCTGCGAATTCCTCAAAATTGAATTAATTAATGTATATGCTAATTGTATTAATTGTATATCTATGTACTGTAAAGCACTTCAGAGTGGCTTATATTAGCTAGATAGGGCGCTATGTCAAATGTTGTATATTATTATTATTATTATATCATGAAGAACACACTTACTGTCTCTCAGAATCTGGTTTGTCCCATTACCCATGTATCAGATCAAAAACTAATTCTCAGCAAACTAAACACATGATTTCACTTCCCTGAATGGAAAGAAATTCAGTATAAGATGAAACATGATATTGTGGGTGGAGAATTGAGATGGCACATTTTATAACGTTATTTCACTCTGAAGTTTTCAAGAAATATAACCAATGAGTGAGAAATGATAAAGCATATAGCAGTTAAGGAATAATTATACAAAAATAATTGAGATCGTCATGAATATTTTTGAAGTTAAAACAAGTTCTCAAATTAACATTGGTTACTATGATATATATTAGGTGAAATTATCATTGCTTCACCAACTTTTTAGACTGAAATTTGATTTGTTTCTTGTCAAAATGCCTAATTGAACAATATACAGTGATTTAAACTGTATCATTTATAGGAAACTGCTATACTTTATTCTATTTAATATCACATTCCACTTAATGTCACATTCCACTTAATATCACATTCCTCTTAATGTCACATACCACATAATGTCAAATTAAGAGAGAGAGAGAATGGTACATTATGGCAATGTCATGCTTTTCAAAAGCACCACTCCACTTTCCCTATACATTGTGTGTCATTTACTTCGCTTTATATCATTTGATGTGACATGAAGTCTTCTTAGTATTATGTTTTCTTGCCAGTTTTCCAAACATATTTCATATTAAAATGACGTGAAAAATGGTAAAACCTATGAAAACAATGTGACTTTTTCTGTAATTGCCCCGAGGATATCCAATATCTTAGCAATGTCTTTAACAATAGCCCAAATGTATGTTGACGAAGTGAAAGAGGGAAATTGGTTGAAATTCAAATTTGATTTCTTAATACTGTGCTTGGGTTCATGAACGAGTACTGTGTATTGGACTGACTGACCATACATGACTGTTACAGACTTCTCCTGGGTGGAGTGTGATATGTGTGAAGTACAACTTCAGGTGTGTAATCCACTGCCAGACGAGCTCAGCATACAACAGATGGTACGTACTAGCTATTTTTATCACAGAATATTGTGTATAGTCCTTGGTACCTGAAAACACATGAAGCTGCATGAGATATGTTACATTGAGTATTAGTGAAGGTAGAGCAATGCATAATTTCTTATTTTGCCTTGTTTCAGTCTTTGATGACAGATGGTGTTGAAATTGAGGCGTACCCTACAAGTCCAACGATACCAGCCGAGTCGGGTCCAAGTCTAGTCAAAATACTCAGTCGCCCCCGATCTTCAGGGGATCTCTGTATCCTTGGTTACACGACTCACTTACTTGGGATGCGGAGTCAGTGTCGCCTGCGTGACCTCCCTGAACTTCGCGATCTGCGGACAACGGTAACAGTAATTCCAGCCCTCCCTCAGATCACGCTCACTGCTTCACTTCCAAAGGTCGCGACCTTTACCACTGTAGGCGACGGAGCTAACGTCGTAACCAGTGGAACAACCTCAATCTACGCAGGTCAAAGGTCAGCTTATCACAATTATTAAAGTTTGATATTTTGAATGTCTGAATTTACAAGTTTATTGTGCATAAATTTCGACATTTATGTATATAGATATAACTGTGTCTCGATAAAGGAGTGGATCGCTCCGTAAATTTGACAACCTAAACTTGTCCACACTGTTGGAATCACTTCTTTGCCCCATATACTATTTTAAGTAATTCGTATCCTACGGACATACCTCCATTAGGATCCAGTGTTAAATGGGATTTTACCGTCTATATTACTTCTTTGACCCATAGATATTAATATATATATAAACTCGAAATTGTTAACTATCAAATTCATATGACATTTTCAAAATAAGTTTTGAATGTGTAATTAAGCAAGCTGAGAGTTGTGTAATATACAAGATTAAAGATTAAATATATTGAAAAAAACATTCTGTGAGATGAACGATATGTTATTTGTTTCAGTAAAGAGTGCATGATCACCATTCGGAATACGAGTAACCAGCCCGTGGAGAAGATCACAGTCAGCCTTGATTGTCATCCCGACCAAAAAGGTTTGTTCTTCAATCATCATTCACTCTTTCTAATCACTTACTCTGTGTCTTATCTTATTGTTTTCCCTGTGTATTCATTCATTCTTCCATCTTAATTTCCAACCCTCCCACTTTATCTCTAAGCCCCCACGCTCAATCTTTTACTTCTCACATTTAATTTCGAAGCTTTCACACTCCATCGTTAACCCCTCCTACCTATGCACTTATGTCGATCCTCAAGATCTCCCACTAAATCTAACCTTCGTACATCCTTCTCCATGGCCCTGTTGCTAACATTGATGAAAAAGCCCTAAAACCACTAAATTTAACAGAAATGTCTTGAAAGGGTCAAAATGAGCCTTCAATGATCGTTAAACTTTGATTGTATATACATTTTAGTGGTTCTGTGTTATTATTCCCAATAAACGAATTCAGAAAATACAAGAAAATAAAAAAAAGTTAACTTATCGATTTTCGGACTACCGACCAGTGTTGGATTTATTTTGATGTTTATATGGTGATTTTAGATAGATCTAGGCTACACATCCAGATTTCTGTTATTTGAAAAGTTTGAAATGGCAGGAGATTTGGCCTTAATTTATCTGAAAATGCCCTTAACCCTTTCACCACTGTAGACCATAATGGACTCATCCAGATCAATGCATGGTAGAGTCTACTAAAGTTACATAGGGGTGAAAGGGTTAAAAAAGGCCCTTAAAAAACATGGTTATGTAACGGAACTGGACTGGGTCGATCATCGGCGACCAGATAGCTCAATTGGTAGAGCATCTGTCTAGAGTTTGGAGGGTCTCGGGTTCGAACCCCGGTCTGGCCGTGCATTTTCCCTCTCATATTACATTTGGCGCCCAACGAAATATACCCACAGAAGGTGATATTCCATCTTTGCGTATTGCAGAGTTATCTGCTCTTGTGAGCAGGGATTGATTGTTACGTCATTGGTTTGAGGGAGAAAATTGCGTTGTTTTCTCAAAAATTGATGACATTACTCTCGCAAACCAATGACGTAACAATCCATACCTGCTCACAAGAGCAGATAACTCTGCAATATGAAAAGACAGAATAGGGTGTCGTGTGTCTTCGGGGTCGAAGACTTTGTAACATTCCTATACAAACCCTGTAGACAGTTCACCACTATGACATATAAATAAAAACATACTGTGTTTGTATTGACAGAGATGCAGTCAAAAGTGTTCCAGTGGAGCCAGGAAAACCTGGATGCTCAACTTCCTCTCCAGCCTTCTGGCCTTGTGTGTTTTACTGTGTGTATCTATGGCTACTCCGACTTCCTGTCCAGTAAAAGTTCCCGTGATGGTAAGATGTTATATGTATTAATGGAAGTTTTATACTTCATTTTTGCTTGTCGTTACTGGATCCTTTACAAATCAGCCGTTCGAAAGATTTCTGAATTCTATGTTGATCCTGAGATAAGTGTACAGTTTGTTAAATAAAAAAATCACTATGGGTTAGAGCTGTCACGATACACTTTACCCACGATTCGATACGTATCTCGATATTTGTACCACGATTCGATTATTTTGATTCGATACACCTTTATGTTAAAATATTTTTAAAAAATGAAATATATAAGCAGTCGATACACGCAAACCCGAAGTGTTTCCACACTTTTGATGGAGCAACACAAATTTTCATTTCCTTACCACGGTCTGCCATTTTGTTATGAATGCTGTGTGAAAATGGCATCCTCGCAGCCGATTGGCTGGGGGTTTAGAGATCAGCCAATGACATTGAAAGTCTCATAGACATTTTGGGACACTTTTCATGGAGCAACACAAATTTTCATTTCCTTACCACGGTCTGCCATTTTGTTATGAATGCTGTGTGAAAATGGCATCCTCGCAGCCGATTGGCTGGGGGTTTAGAGATCAGCCAATGAAATTGAACGTCTCATAGACATTTTGGCTGAAGCGGCATACACTAATATTCAAATGGTGACGTATTGAAAATCCGGAAAATATATCGTAAATCGAATCGAACATTAATAATCGCGGTACAAGTGCATCGCGGTGAATCGTGACAACTCTACTAGGGGTTGCCTTCCAAAACCTTCGTTTTACATGTTATTTTATGAGAATAATGTCCTTTGAAAAATTTGAGTCCATTATTATGTATCAAATTTCACTAACATTTGTCTGCTTCCACTGTTATAGGGTCACAGTCTTCCGAACACTCCAATCCTGATGAGTATGATTCTAAGGTGAGCCAAAAATTCAAAAAAAGTCTCGGCTATAGGCAGAGATAAAAAATAAAATTTTCTGCTGTGCTATTGAAATGTTCATACAATCCTAAACAGACTTGATGTTATATACAGAAATATCAACCAGCTGAACATGAAAAGAAAAAGACAGGCTCAGTCTAAGTCAAATCTGACCTCAGGAACATCCGGCACATGCATATCAAGGGGACCAGGGGTGCCTGACTGAAACTAAAATGCTGGCTTTTGCTAGTTTGCAATATTTCTTTATAAAGTAGAAACTCGTTATCTCGAACTCTTATAACTTGTAGACTCTGTTTATCTCGAAGTATTTCTTTTGTCCTGGCCAAATCTCTTCTTTATCTTAGCAAATAAAACTCTGATAATTCGAACCCTAAAAACTTGGATACCTCCAAGTAACAGAGAAATCCAACATCAAAACATCGTCTACTTCATAGTGTTCAAATTTCATTTTATCACCTATTAATTCTTTGATACAAATAAAACGCAAAACTACAGCATCTCGACATTCCATGTTTATGAACATGTTTAAAAACATTGGCGTTATCTCCTATCATCTCTTATATACTTATCTCCCTTTATCTGATGTATTTATTTCCCTTGTTTGATTTATGTCCCTTTGTTATCATATATCTCCCTTTATCTGATGTATTTATTTCCCTTGTTTGAGTTATGTCCCTTTGTTGACATTTATCTCCCTTTATCTGATGTACTTATCTCCCTTGTTTGGTTATGTCCCTTTGTTATCATTTATCTCCCTTTATCAGATACATTTATCCTTTACAGTGTGTGGAGTCGTTGTTGAGAGTGGAGTACAGTGGAGGCCCTGGGTTAGAGGCTGGATACTGTCGACACTGTGCCGTGGCCTTCAGTGTTGATATCCTCCCCTCCGTCATCTTCCATTCCTGGGAAGCTCTTCCTTCAGAAAGGTCAGTCAGGTCACTGAAGGGTCATTAACAGGTCACAAGCCTGAGGTCAATGGGAAATGAAAGTTCAGGATAGAATGTTATCTTTTGAATTGTTTTAAATGTTTTTACATGCAATTGCTATATATCCGTATTTATATGAATCTCCATGTGTTTGAATGTATCTATGCATACTTATATGTATATTTATCTGTTTGTTCATGGGAAGTTCCCACCATTCTGTTGGTTAGCTGTAGCATAGTCAATACATTAAAAAATATAAAACCATACATCTCTGGTTATATATATTAAACAGAATCAACCCTGACCAACATATCTACCAGTCATACTGGTTAAATTCATTGTAACTGTTTAGAAAGTAACACTATTTATGATCTTGAGACTGTTGAACATCTTTCAAGGAATTTGATGTTTCAATGGAACCACTTTCAAAATAATGAATGTTTAAATACAAGGAGAATGAATGACTGTGAATGAGGAGTTCATTGACTTTTCTCAACAGTTTTCTATTTCACTAATTAACTATGAGTGGTCTAAATATATCTGTATTTATCTGTATTTGTATGCATCAGAAAATGTATGTACCAATATTGACCTGTATTTCTCAGCCCCGACCACTGTGTGCTGGCGTTTGATGTATGTAATGTGTGCAGTCAGCAGGTGGAAATGCAATATAACATCGACGACAGCTTTAAGTTAGAACCCAAACAGATACGCAGGTACGCTACACATTTCTCTGTCATAAATAGTTATGTAATATCAAAGACAGCTTCAAACCTAAAACCTTAACAGATACACAGGTTCCTGTATAGAGGTATACCAGAAAAATGGATAGCTTTGTGAAGTTGTTACTTTTTATATGTACGGTATACCGAGCATTTTTCACCCAGTCAAATTTTGAGCCTTTGATGTTAAAATCCATTTTTCGCCACATAATAAATTTGCCCGTCACATTAAATTACTATGTATATCATGTTGTTTACAAATGTTCGCTGTAATGATAAATTCGCCTTCATAAACAAATATTATGGAGGGTAAAAAATGCGTAAAATTTAACTACAGCTAAAAAAAAATCCTGTATATAATATACACAAATATTTAACAATAGACCAGTGTTGTGTAAGGGAAATGAAAAATAAATTATGAACTTATTTTTGGAACTAATGACTGTGAACACAGTGCCTATCTAACTGTTTATAAAAAGATGTGTCTGTAATATTGGTCTATTGACTACAATGTCTGTCTGCAGGCTCACAATACAGATAGAAAAGTGTAAGTTTCCTGACCCTGCCCCAGAGCTGGACGTGGCTGACCGCCTTCAGATGACCAAGCCTCCTCCTCCAACCATCAGCCATTACAGCCAACACCTGGACGGCTTCATCCACATACTGTGGTCAATGGTATCCTTGTCTGAGAATAACACTCAACTCATTCACCCCTGAAATTTCATAATGAACTATTCCAATCTTTGAATTGGAGGAGTTCAACTGTGTTTTCAGGGGTGAAATGGCTGGTGATGATGGTCTAAGTTTGTAGTTGCTGTACACTTCCTTGAACAATGTCAGAATAACAATGGTTTATTTTGGAACAATGAATGATATCCTGAAATTTTACAAGATGAAATGGTGCCAAATTTTGTTTAAGATACTTAAGTTTTCAAAGATACCTACAACCGAGGTCTCTAATTAGGGTCTCTTTGTGGAATTGTGGATTTGTTTCTGTGTTTTAGAACACCAAAGCAACTGTAACTGATATTCTGTCCCCCATTGCAACACTTTAATATTTTCCCCTTGTATTCTAATTGGTAGTGTCTTCCTCGGTACCTCTGGTTCAACCCTTTCACCCCTATGTAACTTCAGTAGGCTCTTCCATGCAGTGTTATGGATGAGTCCAATTGTAGTCTACAGTGGTGAAAGGGTTTAGCCCTGGTTGTCATGCCCTCAGGCTTAGGTATAAAAGACTGTAACGTTATCACATGATTTCAATCTCCCTGTAAAATATGCCTTATCAGTTTACTCATCACCAGTTGAAATTATCATTTGACTTTGCTGGTTGCAAAGACATAAATCCCCTGACTAACTAAAAAAGCATCACTGACATTCAGTATTGGCTACACATAGCCCCAAAATTAAAAGCATGAAAATTTACCTACCTTAACCTCGGCTGCTCAGTGTGGGACGAAGAGTTGCGGGAAGATGGCGACGGAGCATCTGACTTGGTCACAACAGCAACTAGAGCTCATCAAAGTGTCCGATGTCTCTTGGAGTGAGTCTTGGGTTGGGGTCTTGTGGTTCTGAAGTTTATGATTTTTACCCCATAGAAATGTGCTTCACTGCATTTATAATAAAACCATCAGAAATTTTCAAAAAAGATCATTAAATTAAATAAGAATATATATACAAGCAAAAGCACACAATTTAAATTGGTGTTGTTCCACTATTTCTAAACATTTTCTTCAGGTTGGTAAGTGTGGATTGTGAAAATATTTATGCAGCACAACCCTTAAGTGCTTATATGTGATGTTTCGATGACAAGTACAGTACTCTGTGACCTAGTGAAGGGTATGCACACAAAGGTGTAAGATATGTACAAGTTGTCCACGAAAAAATTGATGTCGATTCGGCTACGCTGTAAGCTTTTGTACAATTAGTTGTTATATATATACCAAAATGCTCGATTCAGCCAGGTTTTTTTCGTTTTGTTACATACGCTTCATTGGTCATTTGTCTGATGAAGATGATAGAGTACATACCGTACTAGTCATCGAAATGTGACATTTAAACACTTACTGGTTGTGCTACATGAATCTTTTCACAAGCTGTTGCACTATGTTCAATTTACTACAGCACCACATGAATCTATTGCGAACACGAATAAAGAGTGGGGATGTAGAGTTAGATAGTCTTAAATGACAATTGTACTTCTGGTTGTTTTACAGACGTAAGCGTTAACGACCAGTCCTGCTCAGCTTATTCCATTCCCGTAGTCTGTACGGGCAAAGTCGTCAACATCGAAATCCTAATCACCTTCCGTGCCGGTAAGTGTCGGAGGAGAATGTTTTATATGTAACGGTCGAGGTAGCTGTAACAAACATATTCCTGGCAACAGATAATAAATCAATTCCTTTTGAGCCATAAAAGACTTCAAAGATACATGAATGTGTGAAATGGTAAATCTGAAAACCTTTTCCCCCCATTGTATTTCTGCTCTTTCAAGGGCAATTTCAACGCTTGTCTAAAAACTAAACATTTATAGTAAACAGTACCGAGAAGTATAGGCTGCATTTGTTTATCGCGATCCAAGCAGTTGGACTAGAGTGTTTCATTTATGAAATAAGGTTGTACCTAGTAATCTGATGCTGCTTTCAGGCCAGCCTTGACAAAGCCTTGCAAGGCCTGCATAAAAATTTGCAGGTCCGCCAGGATTTATACCTGAGAATGTTACAGTGTATTTAGACCTGAAGTAAACTACGTAGAGTCTTCTATCAAACTCCTACACTCTGTGTTATTCCTACAGGTGTAAGTTACACAAGTGCTGGACTGGCGGTCAGTTGTGGACTGCTGACTGACCACACCTCTGGTCACTCTCGGGACATTGACCTAGTTACAGTGCTGGGTTCCCAATCATACCAACTAACTAATGTAAGTACAAACTTTAATTGATGCTTGAAGACTGTAAATATTGTTGATATGAGAAAAGTTTCTTATTACAAATAGTACATACTAACCAACTCTCCCTATTTTTGGAGGGAGACTCCCGATTTCGGACCCTAAAACTGAGAATTTTCAACCAGTGGATTTGCTAAACTATTCCTATTTTCGAAGATCTGATGAGAAATCTGAAAGAACAGCTCAGCAAAAAATGCTTTATTTTCCCTTATAGTGTACATACACACATTTTATTTATGCTTTTAATTCTGAGCATGCGGAAAATTCAAAAAGTTGGCAAATATGATAATGGTTTTACTAACATAAACCTTGATTTTCTGAGACCAGGTCGGAGGGGAGGACAGCGCCCACTGCAAAACATCCTACCTGTTCCACTACAGTGGTACCTATAGGGTCAATGTCAAGTGTGTCGCTACAGAAAAAGGCCAAGACGGGGACAGTGACCATATATGGAAGTGCCATGATATACAAGTTCAGGTGATGGACGAGGAATGATTCGGAGGATTGTCACATCTGCTTCTTCCTTTCTTCCTAAAACTAGCATAAAACCTTTCATATAAGTAGATTTATATTCAATTTTACTTTGCATTTCAAATTTCAGTACCATATATTTTTCAATACCAGGTATCCATAACATTAAATGGAAAAAAGGCTGATATCTTTTCTAACTTGATAATTTTCATTTGCAAGGTTTCAAATCCAAATTGCTTTTTTTTGCTGCATTTTTTCAAAGGGCTTAATCGAAATTAGTTGCGTAATCGCCAAAATTATTTTAGCATTTACGTTTGTATTATGCACTGTACTGGGAACATTAACTATAAGTTACTTATATTTTGCATATTGCATTGTTCACTGGTGAATAATTCTCTCATATATATAAAAAAAAAAAAAAAAAAAAAAAAAAATTTTTTTTTAATANTCCTTTCACTCCTAGGTAACTTTAGTGGACTCTTCCTTGCATTTATTGTGATAAGTCCATTATGGTCTAAGGTGGTGAAATGGTTAAGAGGGATTCCTGCTGATTTTCACTACTTTTAAGCATTATTGACTTGCATTTCTCGTTGTAATGCATTATTAGGGGATATGTTTGGTTCGGGTCATTTAACTCATTCCCCCCTGAAGACACTTTTGAACTCTTCCAATTCAAAGGTTGGAATAGTTCATTATGAAATTTCAGGGGTGAATCAGTTAAGGATGTTTAAAAATGGATTACATAACATCCCAACATGATGGTGTTATTAAAAAATCTCATTGTGACACGCTTAAATATCCGATCACTAAAGGTTATAAGCTAACCAGGGGCACGTTTTTTGTGTGGTTTAAGGTGGGTGTACTTTCTAATTAAAGGGTTTGCATCTTTTACCTTGCCTCGATGTGTACAGTTAATATCCACAACCAGACTGGTAACATTTTCTGTTTTTCAAATGATCCTCATAAAAATCATAAGAATCATCTTTGCGTATTGCAGAGTTATCTTCTCTTGTGAGCAGGTATTGATTGTTACGTCATTGGTTTGTGTGAGAAAATTACGTCGTTTTTTTTTAAATTTATGACGTTACTCTCACAAACAAATGACATAACAATCAATACCTGCTCACAAGAGCAGATAACTCTGCAATACGAAAAGACGGAATAGGCCCAAACAAAGCCTAAAACTATACATTATATTCTTCAAAGCTTATTAGTATGTTTAATAGTTTACTTAATTCCTTGTACTTACGGAAAACTTTCAGATTTGCTTTGTCTTTGAAGAAATAGCCCCAAACATATGTCTTTTAAGTAGTGAAATTTAGCCGAAAAATCAGGTAGTGAAATATTGTCAAAATATCATTTGGCAAACTATTGCCAAAAAACAGCGGGAAACAATCTCTTATGTTTTCGAGTTTGTGAAAAAAACTTATTATCATTTTGCATCGCTAATGTTAATGTCAGTCCGTTTATAACAACTACTCCTTCAGGAGTGAAAGTCCTGTTCTCTACCCTCATTTCTCAGGCTAAGTCCCAGGGGGTGAATTCAAGCCCGCCTTCCTTTTAAACGATGTTACAGTTGTAATTGTAATAAAATGTTGCAAATTTAATAATGTGAACAAAAGTTTTCTCAGATTTCAGTCTTGTGAAAACCATGGTTACCAAAAATTTAAAAAAAAAAGAAAATGGACCCAAAACCTGACCCCTTACAGAATTTGTTTTTTTTTCTTTCATCCTTTCTGAAATTAAACAACACTGTCCTGGTAATGGAAGCAGTTGCATTTCTCAAGGCATTTTGCTAAGGTGACATTCCTGCTACCTCCCTTATTGTCCTTCCCAAAGTGTTCCTGTCTGTGTCGGTGGTGAAAATTTCATGGTATACATAATGCATCACATACGTGTGATCTAGGGCAGTGGATTGGAGACAATTTTCTAGCACCGCCCGAAATGCAGAAATCTTGGTCTAGCATGCATGAAAATCTCACCCGATATATATACCTTGTATGAGAGAGGTGACATGAAATTGTGATATCAAACGTTGTGATATTTCCTAGATAATACATGCATGTACATAAATAGGATATGTAAGATAAATTTATTATAATAATTATGCATTTTGAATTGTTGCCATGTGTAAAAAGTAATGCATTACTTAACCATGTAATTATGATAAAATGTGATTTGTGCAAATTGAACACAAAATTATTCCTCATGCTGTATCTTTTTTTTTTTTTTATCCATGTAAATTATTGTAAAAAGCTCAATGATTGATTCAGATGTTTGTGTAAGCCTACCTGATGATCTGTTCCTCCTACCTTGAGGTTCATAACAATACATAAAACAGAGTATCATCTCAGGTTCAATGTCTCATCCACTTTCTTCTATTACTCAATCAATATCTACTTACTTTTAGCTGCTTTCATTTAGTGCGTTCAAAACGAATTGACCAGCTGGAAGGGTTGTTCCTGTATGAAATAAAGAAGAACCTAGTGATTTGTAGAGCTGCAGCGATACGCGTACCTCAAGATACGATACGTGTCACAGTACAATGCTTACGATGAAATACGTGTCGCAGTACAAATATTCACTTAAAAGTTCACTTTCATAATGATTGAGTTCAGGATAGTATTGAGTTTGGTCATAGACTTCAAAAGTACAAACTATCGAAAGATGTTTTTCTATGATTTTTATAACTTTTTTGGAATGACTGCATAGTAGGCGACATCTTTACTGAAAGATTAAAAAAAAAGGTACTTTTTAGAGTTTAATAAAAACTGATTGATGATTTCGGTATTGTTATTGTACAGGCAAACCAAACAGTTTGACAGGATACACAAGGAAGTATCACGATATGATAAGACATGATTTATTGTTGCAGTCCTAGTGATTTGATGTTTATTTCTGGCCAGCCTTGGGAAAGACTTACAAGGCCTGCATTAACATTTACAGGTCTCTCACGTTTTTTCCCCTGAACTATTAATAATAATAATAATGATGATTTGAGGTTCTTATATACTGCTTTACCACAACCTAGTTCGTAGGTCGTCTCAAAGCGGTTCACAAATTATTATCCGTGGTTATAGGGCCTTTCCAACCAGCTAATATCTTTCTCAACTCCCTGGTGAGCATACAGCCGGAGCTGCCATTTCGGCGCTCACAGCTAGCATTCAACAATTCTAGCACTGCCCAACCACATACTCATTTACAGCTGAGTAGACTGGAACAAGCGGAGTAAAGTATCTTGCTCAAAGATTCAACACGGTGCCATGCTGTGACTTGCTCCCGCAACCCTTTGGTCACTAGCCCGACTTTTACACCTAAAAAGTAGGCAAACTGGTTGGTCTGCACACTATAGTAAATAAACAGGTTCTTGTATTCAATGATGATTCATTCTGTAGTTGATGTTGTTTATGTATAAACCCAAAGTAACATTGAAACACAATGAGGGCTGGTTTTGTTGAGGGCGTTAAGTGCAACTGAAATAGCTTTAAATGATGGTGTCAAACACCGCAACATATTTAAGCTGGAACAATAAAAAGATTACAATTATTGGGTGTAACTGCTATTATGTGGTAAGAGCTGAAATTATGTTAAAAACTTGTTTTATAATAAGTTTGTGATTTATCGTAAACTTGATTTAATAATTATGTAAGTTAATATGAACTTGTGAATAATTCTGATATCTAAGCATTACAAATTGTTATGTCACATTCCGAGTCATGATTAAGATACTCGGTGTATGTGGGTTTTTTCGGGGGGTGGGGGGGGGTCTGCAGATACAAGGTCAGATGACTGTTGTGGTGGTGCTAGGATAACCTTATTTATAACGTACTGATCTTGTACAAATATATTATCAAATCTTTGTATGCCTACTTAGATTTTGTCACATTGCTTATATTTTAAGGCTTTATGTTACTTTACATTAAAATGTCTGTTCCAGAAGAGATTCACACTGAAAATATGTCCAGTTTGTACTTGTGTCCCTAATTTGGACATGTAGTGTCGTCTTTAACACTGATCAATACCATAAATTCATACAGGGCCACACAGTAGTCTAAATGGCCCATTAGGACAACAAATTCACAAAGGGCCACACAGTAGTCTTTACAGTCAATCAACACAACACAGTCATACAGGGCCACACAGTAGTCTTAATGGCCCATCAGGACAATGAATTCATACAGGGCCACACAGTAGTCTTAATGGCCCATCAGGACAATGAATTCATACAGGGCCACACAGTAGTCTTAATGGCCCATCAATACAATGAATTCATACAGTGCCACACAGTAGTCTTAATGGCCCATCAGGACAATGAATTCATACAGGGCCACACAGTAGTCTTAATGGCCCATCAGGACAATGAATTCATACTGGGCCACATAGTAGTGTTAACAGCCCATCAACACAAAGTTCATACAGGGCCACACAGTAGTCTTTACAGTGAAGCAACACAACACAGTCATACAGGGCCACACAGTAGTCTTAATGGGCCATCAGTACAATAACTTCATACAGGGCCACACAATAGTCTTAATGGCCCATCAGTACAATAAGTTCATACAGGGCCACACAGTGGTCTTAATGGCCCATCAATACAATAAGTTCATACAGGGCCACACAGTAGTCTTAATGGCCCATCAATAAAATGAATTCATACAGTGTCACACAGTAGTCTCAACAGCCCATCAACAGAACACAGTCATACAGTGCCACACAGTAGTCTTAATGGCCCGTCAATACAATAAATTCATACAGTGCCACACAGTAGTCTTAATGGCCCGTCAATACAATGAATTCATACAGTGTCACACAGTAGTCTTAATGGCCAATCAATACAATGAATTCATACAGTGCCACACAGTAGTCTTAATGGCCCATCAATACAATGAATTCATACAGTGTCACACAGTAGTCTTAACAGCCCATCAACAGAACACAGTCATACAGGGCCACACAGTAGTCTTAACAGCCCATCAACACAAAGTTCATACAGGGCCACACAGTAGTCTTAATGGCCCATCAATAAAATGAATTCATACAGTGTCACACAGTAGTCTTAACAGACCTCAACAGAACACAGTCATACAGGGCCACACAGTAGTCTTAACAGCCCATCAACACAAAGTTCATACAGGGCCACACAGTAGTCTTAATGGCCCATCAATAAAATGAATTCATACAGTGCCACACAGTAGTCTTAACAGACCATTCAGACAATAAGTTCATACTGGGCCACACAGTAGTCTTAATGGCCCGTCAGTACAATAAGTTCATACAGGGCTACACAGTAGTCTTAATGGCCAATCAGTACAATAAATTCATACAGGGCCGCACAGTAGTCTTAACAGCCCATTTAGACAATAAATTCATACAGGGCCACACAGTAGTCTTAATGGCCAATCAGTACAATTAATTCATACATCACGACACAAGGTTATGG